AAAAATTCATTAAATTAAATATTCATTAAAAATAGAGAATTTAAGATGTCACCATGAAACGATCAAATCTCAGAGGTCAACCAAATATGAACCACCAATACCAACAGCTCTGCCTGTCATCTTTGATGACGGTGTAGATAAAAAAAGCTGGGAAAGTTTTTTTTGAAAAATGGATTGTTCAAAGTTTACAAGCGCATACTCGGATAAATATATCATGTCATATATCCTGGAAATTATTGAACAATGACATCATACATACAGGAAATGACATGCAGACTAAACAGGTCGTTTACGTTCATTCAACTTATCAAATAAGGCTGAAAAATTGATCATGGTTTTTTCTACAAAATGATCACATATTGCTGATTTTATCAATTTTGGGGCTTTTTTATCAAGTGGAAAATAGTTTTTTTGAGAAAATGGTATGAAAAATTGACCTTTTGAAAAAAATTCAAAGAACTTGTAAAGTAAAACCAACTAACTACACACTTCTTGTTTAAACATTTTTTTTTCACCATGTACATATTAACAAAATTTTGAGATGGAATGAAACCGTAAAAACAGGTAACAGGTGCAAAAATCATCCTTTTCATGAGTAGTTTGGTGACAATAATTTTTTGTTTGGATTTTTTGAGCAATTGTATGAAACAAAGCTATATTTCTGAATGCGAGCCAACTACCTTAAGAAATGTAAACTATGCTAGTTGTTACATGATACACTATACATCTAGACTGTGACTAGGACATCCTGATTAGAAAAAGAACAGTGATTCAACAAGAATAGGACATTAAATCAACTAAATTTGAAACTTACCTTCAGATGCCCCTTGTCGATATAATACTTTATTTTCTAGTAAAATTTTTCTGTGAAAAGTGGAGAACACGAATTTATAAGCGACGACTGAGTTTATATTACTATACAACTTCAATGTTCATTTTCTCCAGGACATTTCTTAATGCGAATAATTTTTTTCCCATCTAATTCAAATTGTCCCAAGGCCATTCATAAATACATGCTAATGACACTTTGTCTTCAGCAATTGACATACCATTTTGTCATTCATAATACTGACCAATGTCACTGAAAATGAGAACCTCAAATTATAAAAATATTTCAGAATCAATATCCATTATTTTACAGAACACAATTACCAAGTATTTACATTGTTCTGTATTTCCAACTTCTTATCAATTGACATCGCTCGTTGGAAAATGTGTAGCAGACTGTTGTGTTGTATAAATGTGAACAAAAACATAAATTCAGATCACATAAGATAATAATAAGCAACTTTACTTTGTGTCTTCCAGTTCACAATGTTCTTTCTCATAAAGTCTTTTCAAATTCTCGACATGGTTTAGCATCACTTCTACAGCTTGGTTCATTCTTCCCTCCTGCAAAAATAGTGACAAAAAATATACATTGAGTCACTGAGTCTTCAATACAGTGACTGCTAAATATTTAGTGGACGTAACATCATTTTTCCCACTACAATTTTGGCACAACATTTTTATATATTTTATTTTCATAAGGTTTTTAGGTAATTCTGGACAAACTGCAAATAACTTTCCACTCTACACGTCTAGATCAAAATATGAATTATAGCGTGTTTTTTTTGTCAAATTGGTGACAAAAGTTGAATTTCGCACTCAACGAGTCAATGTTGTATGCCCTAGATTCAAATCAGTTGTAGCTTTTAATGTATCTATTGGTAGTCATGGCAAGTTTGAATGAAATCTGTCCAGTTATCTGAAAAAATGATCTACAGCCAATAACATTTGAGCTACGAATCATCATGCAAAACATGCACATACAACAAATAAATGTATTTATATACAATATACAGTATCGCTATCACTATATTTTTAAAAATACACATTCTTGTCCATGTTGCATTTTTAAAGAGACACTAAATGTGTTATACCAGATTACTGGCCAAAATAATACTTGTGGCACTCAATGGGATAACAACATTAATGGTATGTAACAGTAGCTACATAGCTAGAATATTATCTTTTTCACCAACAGATCCTTCTTTTCATCACAAAATAGTCCCGTTTATAGTCTGTAGTTGCCTTCAGAAGATTGGGACAAAAATGGCCTAATTTTCTGAGTAAAAAGTGAATTTTGTCTGTTGGCTCCAAAATTAGGCTTCATTTCCAGAAATACTGATTAGAAGAATATAAAGAAAATGTTCAGACAAATTTGAGAAAGAAAGTCTGGTGGTGAAAAAGATAAACCATTCATTTACATGGCATTGTCTATTAGCACAGGAATGCTTTGCTTATTCATTCAGCACCATAATTGTTATTGTGGCTCAGTGTCACATGAATTAAGTGTCCCTATTCAACATAATTCTAATCACATTGAACCATATTCAAATTTGTAAGTAATACATAACTGTCTATATACATAATTTAATTGATTGTAGTGTTTCAACTATATATTGTGCAATACACATGTATGTAACAAGTAACTGACAGAGGTACTTGCCTGTTGTACAGCACCATGTAGTTCGGATTTACTACAAAGCCGTGAGGCACTTTGTTGTATGACATCCACATGGTATTTAAGTTTATCAATTAAGTCTTTGGTTTTAACATCAACACAGAGAGGATTCAAATCCTTAAATAAAATAATTATTACCAAAGAAATTATATAAAAGCCCATGTATAATCCTACAGGCTAGCAATGGATCTACTGCCCAAGGATGTATACAGACTGTAACAGAACAACATTTACAACAAGTTAATTGATAAAACATCCAAAGGCCAGCTACTCAGCTGAACAGTGGACATGAACAAACTTTTACTGCAGCTGCATAATTGGTTACCTATATATAAACTTATTGCAACTGGCATAAACTTATAAAACTGGTGTCCAGCTGGACTTATAAATTAAGTACAACATAAAAGCCAGTGAAATAATTATATATACTAGATAAAAAAGGTTATCACAAATATATACTAGTAAGTTAAAGTTGAGTTAAGAGAAAAATCACAAAGAAACTGAAGACAGAGAATATATTGTTTCACACAAGTTCTAGTTTGTGCACGTGTTCAATCATCTTTTTTTTGTCTCAGATGCAAAGACCATAAAGAAAGATATAATATCAACTGATGAAAATACAGAAAGCAATATAGATAAAGTTAAATGGTTTACACAGTGTATATAGTTCGAATTTAGGTGAAAAAAACACAACTTCCAATGATTATCTCTGAGTACGATTTTCAGTTTCCTTGTTAGCAAAGAACAGTAAAGTGCATGCATCATTAGGATATTTGTCAGTCGGGTTAAAGATAACAAGAAACAAGACTATTGGAACATGTAGTGATTTGTAGGAGACTAACAGTGGCTTAGCATATTTTAAATTATTATGTACACTTCTGATACAGAGATCATGACTTACTTGAAGAGAAGCCTTAAGTAGATTAGTTTCTTTTTCAACATTCACTTCCGCTATATCTCTCTGTCTTTCCTGCAACTCTAATCTCTTTTCCAATGTAAATTTGTCAGTTTTAAATGCCAATGCTAGTGAATTAAACTTGGCTTCCACTTCATGATCACTAAGGTTGCCAGGACTAAGAAGAAATTATCATTATAAGACACATTTCAATATTTATAAATACATGGGATAAAACAGATATTATAGTTAAACACTAATGTACAGGAGTACATTTCCATACATGTTACATCACTCATGACAATTACAACACAATAAAGCTAGATGCCACAGTTAATTAAAATCATAAGCCTGAATGTTTATGAATCTTAAAAGACAATGAAAGGAGTACCCCTTCAGACAGGCAATCATCCAAGTACACACAGACCAACACGAATGACAAACCCCCCTAACCCCCCCCCCCCTCTCCCACACACACCAATGCCAATCACTCAAGCAGGCAGTCAACATGTAAAAAACCATAAAACACTCATATACTAGCCAGGCAATCAACCAGGCAGAATGATGACCATCAGCAAAGTTCACTCACAGCATGTGCAGATACTACCCAAATAATATCATTCACACAATCCCATGCAGCATCAACATGTATTATTGTATCATCTCTTTACATACACACTAGTTGTCACATTTTAATCAGATGCTAAATTAATCTTATACTGACACTACCAACTAGGAACATAAAGCGTGAAAAGATTTTCAGAAATTTTTATGACTCCTTGGATAATTTTTAGTACATCTATTTGTTGTCTTGGTTACTATTTCATTTGACAATGTGCAGGTGTTTTAACAAGTACGCATACTGCAATATAATATCAAAGAATTGAAAAAAAAAAAAATTTATACTATAATAAAGCAAGAACTAAAAAAAAATATTCCAAAGACCAATAAAATATCACAATTTCCTTGCATCCTTGCATCTTTAAAAAAAAAAAAACACATTTTTTGTTCTGTTATGGGTAAAACATTATTGAAGCAGGATTGATACTTGTTTTTCTTTGAATTGAATATATAAGTAACTAACAGCAGCAGAGTTATTAACAACAGCTGATCAAATCTATGAAACCTAAAAATAATATCAATATGGTCAGAGAATGTCACAGATGTACACAAGACTAATATAGATTTGTTTGATTTTTCATACTTGTTTATTAGAACCTGGACATAGAAAATCGACCATTATTCAATTCACAGACACACCTGCTGTACAAATATTGTGTCACGATTTCAATGTTAAAAATTAACTGCACAAAACCAATATGAAGTTGGTTAAAGTGGAATGCAATGCAATTATTGTCAAGTTATGCATGTATGCGGTTGCATCCTTTAAAATGTAATGAGAGGATAAAATTTGAAATATGTGAATCTCAAGTTAGTGTCGCATATACTTGGGTAAATAAATGAAGACATTTCCCCATGGTACACCTCAACTAAAGCGCTACAGGTGTCATACTAAATAGGGTTTGATATAGACTTAATGCAATGTATACAACAAGTGTAATATATATTGCTTGTTTACATGAGATGGGATGATGGGAACACTAGGGAGATTAGCTCCCTGCTTAGAGATAAATAAAAGTTTATATAATCAAGAAGGCATGTTTAATTATTTATAAAAAATATATACATATTTATATTTTCTTTTTTTTTTTGCTATTTCATTGACAAGCCCTATTAATTATTATGTCTATTTATTGAAGAAGGTGGGAACGAACTAGATTAGCAGTCACCTGACTGCTATTTTCTGATCCTATTCTCACTTATGTTCTTGCTTTGTTTTTAGTTTTTGATTCTATTAGTGTATTGGTTATAATAAGGAGGATAAACTTATTATTATATTGGCTCAGAGTATTAGATAATGAAATTTGAACAAAATCTGTGAATTTTCATGTACGTGTAGATATTAAGAAATGAATAACGATCATAAGAGGGTGTATATAGATTTCAGTACTTTGATTATAAAGACGTAACCTATTGTGTATGCACATGTTCTTTTTGTGGACAAGCTCCCATCATAGAAAATGTCTGTAGGAGGAGAGCATAAAGAAGTGTACAAAAAAGAAATCTTAAACAAGTGACATCGGCAGCCAATGTTAATCGATTTTCAATTATCTGTTCTTTTTTTTTTTTCTAAACAGAACATACTATATAATGATGAAAGTCTAATACAATGTCATTCAGCATCAACGAAGACTGAATTTGGCAGTTGCCTTTAACACAAATGGTGTTGACAGTAAATTTACCATATTTAATTCATTAGAAGAGCATCTTTAATAGAAGCGCATATATTGCATTAACTGTATACTACATCATTTTATATATTACTTTTTTGGTCACAGGCACATCACTGTCATTTGCATAAGTGCATGAGGTACATTGTACGATCAGAGCAAATATGGTCATTATCATGATAAATAATAAATGAGTGCTAAACTTGTCTGGTGCAAAATATTAAAATAATTGTAATGGATGTTTTAAAATCAGAACTCACACACAATGTTTTCACAATTTTAATTACAAGATATTGCAAAATGAATATGTCCATTGTTTCATAACAATTGATTAGCTGAGATGGAAACACTTCTTTTACTGGTTCGTGACTGACATAAAAAAAAATTGTTTTGTACAAACATTCCTATTTTTAACCTTTTATTGACCTGAGATTATGCTTGCTGAAAAAATGGTACATGTACAAATAAGACTAACTATAATGAATTTGGTTTGATTCATGTACAGTGTCATTATCAAGTACTATAGTACACACTTCAGACTGTTATCAGAGAGTGGAGTAGTTCTATTTTCACTATAAAGGAGTGCATCAAGAATACAGAAATGTATGAAGAGTTACATGTATTTAAAAAAATAAATAAAAAATTTCAATTTTTCTACCGGTATTTACTTTAACATGCTTCTTTTATTTCCCTCATACAAAAGTTTGTAAATTATTCAGCATTTTGATCAGATTTATAAGAAAATGTATAAGATGTACATTAGCCAGAACACTGAGGATAATATTCATTTATATTTAGAAACATATATTCATTGCACAGAAGATTGAGTTGTTCAGTCAATACACAATGTAAATCACATTGTTATCCAGTAATACAACCATACTGATAAATATTGTACTACCTACATCTAGGTATATTGGCTATCTATTGGCACAATTGGCAAATGTATGTATATATAAAGTGAGAGTTGTCACCTGTGCATATGGCAGACAGCCATATTGTATTGTTGTTTACAAACAAGCATCTACCCATGTGTTGTTATCGTCGCTTGAGATTTGATTCATATGAGTGTGCATGTGACGACCCCTCTGGTTTAAATAAATGTGTGCATACAGTACAAATAAATTATTAAATGAAATTAAATTCAATTTAATAATCAATTATGTAGAGCAGGATTATTTGAAACATCTGAAATTATGTATACCATGGGTCCATACATCTTTCTCTCACTGATTTGACTATGTTGTGTAATGTCAGTTAACTGCTTTGTTTATTTGAGTACTGATAAATATTTTTGTTGTGTTCTTGTAAATTTTCCTATATGACTTTCAAGGATTTATAGTTCAGTATGTTATTTCCATTTTATTAGTTATTTGTAGTGAGGCTTTTGTTAAATTAATATGAAATCCATTACCAAACTTAAACTGATAGAAAATAACTCATAATAATAATAATAATAATATTTTTCAACTCAACTCAAGGTCAATTGTTATTATATTTGACTGTTGAATAAATGAAAGAATGTGCTACATCTTTTATTTATTGCCCTTCATTAAATGCATTAATTACATTGGAGTCATATATATTACCTTCACATACACACTACATCCATGATGTCACCACTTTACACATATCCCCGGTAAACACTAACTGAAGAAAGCACTCATTCACAGTCAGTAATCAACATTTTTGCTTTCCACTTACCTAACTGGAGAAGTTTGTTGTTTAAAATGCTCCAGTAATTTTTTCATCTTGAACTTTAGTGTTTTCACACGCTGATGCACACAGCACAAGTGTGCAATGCAGATTATGGATGGTCACGAACACAGCACAATGCATTGATGGTGTAACTCACTGCCTTAGAAGAAACAGACCTAGCCTAATAATAACATTCCCTGCCAAAAAAGCGACAGGTGTTCCACACATATGTATTCCTAGCAATACAAAAGTAAGACAGTGTCCCAAGTAGACTGAGATTGCTACAATGCTGTATTGTTGAAAACCAAGATTCAGAAAATAAATACACATGAGGGATTATTGATTAGTGGTAGTGAGGATTAAGTCTGTATAGAATGCAAAAAGGTTCACTGCTCACAAGTAAATACATTGTTGGAAATTACCTGCAGAAATGTGATTATCTACAATATGCAATACACTCTTTGCTTTAGGAAAGAGGAGTAATTTTATAGCTTGTTTAACTAGAGAATAAAACAACTTTAAAATATCTTATAATGCTAGTATATATAAATAATTACAGGTCAAATTACTTTACCGATAATTTATGCCCATTGAAAGATATAGATGTCTTCCAAGACAGTGGTTTCTCAGGGATGCAAGTTGCACACTGATAAACAGATCTTTATCTTTCATATATGCAAAGATATCATGAATACTAGTTTGGTCGCAGGTATAATGACAACGGTGTCCCTTTGCACCTACAACAGAGTACAATCTAAACACTTGTGCACACCCACAAAAGTTCAGATCACCTCAAATATCGTGAATGGATATGGGAAGACAATTTGTTGAAGACTCAATCTGATGAATGTGGTGGCCCTTTACCAGTTCAGAAAAAAAAACACTTAGTAGTCAAGGGAGATAGAACCATATTCAGGTGTTTGTTGATAAGTGAAACACTGAGATTGTAAGTTAAATGTGCAGAGTATTAACTCCCTATGTTTAGCATGACCACAGCTAGAGGCAGTGTTGTGTATAACACATAGTTAATGACGCATACAGGTACACATGGATGAATAGGGACGATTATACACTTAACCTTCAAAGCTGCACCACCATGAATCAATGTACAGATCACAGTTTATAGTACAATGCATGCACTGTGGATGTATCCACCTTGAAAAGCTTGGCAAAAGATTCAGTGATTTTA